ATACCGGGATCTTATTCGAGACACACCATTCATAGAGGCATGGTTTACTACATTTCGGACTGTTCCTTCAAAATTTACACATCGCGGTAACCCGAAATGATAGGCGTTCTATGGAGCTGTGATCCACTCATTACCATACTTATTATTAGAGCACAATATTTCTCTATTTTCTTCTGAATGCAGTTCCTGTGCGTTCATCTCAAGTAGTTTAGTACCTAGATCATGGCTACCTGATCACAGAGTAGAGGACGCTCATGAAAAACTCATCCTAAGGGGGTAGTCATCAACCACGTGATCTTTACACCATAACTTTGTTTGTTTGAAAAATTACTATGTCCAAATAGTTTCTGAAAAATAGTTGACCGAGAGATAGTTGTGAATTAATTCTTGCCTGAAAAGGCCATTAGTATTTTTCATTCAGTTGTTGTTATCGTGACAAAGATGCAGGTGGCACTTCGAACTGAGTATACCGGGAACAACAAATTATTGGCCAATCACAGGCCAGGAAGTCCACGATTTTCCCACCCGATGAAGAAAACCTTAGTTAGGAGCTAATAATTAGGCCAAATTTCCTTGTGTGTCAGCCAGTAATCTTTCTTTCAGAAGGGTGATTCCACCAGAGCTCAGATAATTTTCATAGCTTTCAGTTGAAACTGCATTTCTTCAAGTAAATGAGTTTGTTAGTAGTTAGTGAATGTACACGCTTCCCAAAATCTCAGTCATTTTACTCTGAGACCACCGGTTTTTTGTGTCTAGAACTTCATAAACAACAGGGCCTCCATGATTTTTCTTTGCAATGCTCAGAAAGTTATTAGAAGTAAATATATTACTGTGGCACCCGTTACTCTTTTTACACTGAAAATATGAGAGTACAATGGAAATAATCCGCAAGGAGTTTATCCATGCTGAGTCCACCGGTGCGCAACGAACTTCAAGCACAGTCTGCTGGCAAAACCTTTTTCAGAAAATCAATGTACTGGCCAGCAAATAAATCGTATGTTCCGCAGGTAAAACTTTCTGAATATTTATAATCTCCCATATTTGCTTCTAGCAAACTAATTAGGGTCACCGGTTGTTGCCCTATAAGGAGTGTTCTCCTCGATTTTCCGGACACTTTCAGCGTTCAGTAAGAGGCTTATTGAATGGTTAATCAAAAAATTTGTCCCGTACTCAATTTGCTGTGTTGTGCGAACTAAACTTAACGTGTGAAGGCGACCTTGGTGCTGCAGTCAGCAATCCTGGGGTAGCAAGTGCAAAAATCCACTACTTACATTCACTGATTCTTTGCAACTTTCCTCCATCCTAAACAACTATAAGCGATAATTTCATCAAAGTGATACGAAATTTAGTGTAGAATGTGCATAAAATAAACATTTCCACATTTGACGGCATCAGACTTACAATTAGACAGAAGAACCACCGGATCTCATTGGTCGATGTGTTGGGGAAAAGAAGTCTTCAGAGGATATGAGCATCTTGCGTGTTACGGGAAAAGACACACAGATCAAATATTTAACTATAACTAAGGTGGAGAAACAACGAAAAGTCCTTGTGTTTGGGTGTCCCTTGTCATCGTTATCATTATCACTAGAATTGTCGTGTACTTCAAAATGTTCATCGGCATCTTCATCAACTTCATCATGACTGCTAACAGAATCGGCAACATCCTAATCATTCTCCTCATCCACATCATTATCATTACCATGATCATTATCAGCACCTTTACCACAATCATTATTATTATTGAAATTAATAAAAGAAAAAACTGATCACTACCGTCATCATCAAAAGTAGTAGTTGTACTAGATGAGAACACCGGTCCTCCAGTCAGATGATTTGAATAGAAACTGACATCATTGAAGCTAATGACGTAAGTTAGCCACGATATCGTCCAGTGTCTTCAGCCAAGCACAGGGACGGTCGGGTGAATTCCATCCTGGAAGGCGAACCACACCAGCAGCACCGAAACTTTTCCCCTAATTCCCTTCTACCATGCCACTTTCTGTCTGCCTCTAGATTTCCGCCACTCCAAATTAACCACAGAAAACAGCGCTAATCTCGACAGGCGATAACTTGACACGCCTAACACATCGCTCAACCTTTTTAACCGGCAGCACATGATGCATTATTCAGGGAAGTATCCTCAGTGGTGGTCGTCAGATGACAATAAACGTTCTTTCCACGAGTCGTCTAATCTGAGGTCTTCAACTGCTAAGGCAGCTGAGTGCATGACCATACAACCTGTCTACGCCTGATAGCCTTCAGTTTAACTGTTCTCTACCCATCAATGCCGCTCATAAGTCACCCACGCACTCACAAGCCACACACAATAGTGTAGACTGTGGTAGCTCCACGCAGAAGGCACGCGATTAGGGTGACGCATACCTTGATTAACGTCTACATCAGTGCATGATCTTATGTTGACGTACTGCGTGGAATATGCCAATAAACATGGTTTGTGCCACAATATCAAAGACTAACATGGGGCTAGCAACACTTCGCAAGTTCGCACACCAGAAATTGGTGTTGGTAGGTTCCGTTGCAAGATGATGAGTTGATATCCTCCAGAATTCCGACTATCCGAAACAGAACTTTCGTGTTATCATTTCGGTGGAACTAGGGTACAAGCTGAATGTTCAAACTATCTTTCGATGCTGTGTTCAAAGGAACAGAACACCTTTCATGTAGATCAGGTTAGGCGGCTTAGTGCTTTCGATTTAATGCGGCTTCCAACGTTTAACAATAACGATCGGAAGTTAGAGATTTAGAATACTCAAGAAAATCTCCAGCCTTGTGATGCAGTTTCCACTTGCTTGGACGAAACTCAACATAAGCTTGATGATTATGCCATCATAGTGTTAGCTGATTGTGAGAATTAAGTTTCGTACGTATATCGGTATAACTAGACTAACTAGAGATCAAGAATTAAGCAAGGCATAACAAGTAGCACGTATGTATTCGAATTGGCGAATATGTACAGCATATGGAATATTGAAACAAGAAGATAATAAATAGAGCAATGAATAGAGTATCAATCATGTTCATTACATCCGGTACACCTTGAATGAGCATGTGGGTGTTTATAGTCCAGTGGTGGTCTTGATTCCAATCTTTCGGATCCTCTCGGAATGGAAACCTTAGATTCTTCAAACACGTTTTGTTCGCATACCATAAGATCATCCACAAAGGACTCGTTAGTATTCGACACAGCAGGAGTGCCGTTAACAGACTGACCTCTGGTATTGAACTCCACCTAATCAATGTCTCCGATGACAAGAGAGGTCATCCAAATCGAGAATCATGACCGTCCGTTTGCCATTTGATGAATGTACTATTCCTGTAGCAGGTCATAATTCATTACCCTTGAAAAATGTAACATCAGCCGTTTTGGCACAGTCAAGACTTGTACGCAACGAACGAGATCTAAATAAAAGCGCGGGACTCATCCCACTAACGGAATGAACGGGATTCCTGTATTGCATTAGAAAATTAGCAATCCCATGGTCCAATTCCACAAAAGCAGTAAAGGAGGATAAAATGGCACATATCAGTGTTCGGACAGAATTCTCAGCAAGTCCGTTTGACTGGGGTGTCGTGGAGAAGTAAACAGATGTCGATATCCAAGACCTTCTAACCATTCCTCGAGGAATTTTGCAGTGAAGTGTGTGCCGCTGTCAGTGACCAAAACACATTCATGGCTGAATGCTTTTTTCAATGCTTGCTGTGTAAATTCGGCACTTGGGGACGTAGTTATGAAAACTTCAGGCCAACGTGAATATGCGTCAATAGCAATTAAAGCATAGCATTTCCCGAGAAAAGGACCACAGTAGTCGGCATGAACTCGTTGAAATGTTTCACATGTAGCTAACCACAAATACCACTGTGAAGACTTGTTATGAATTCTATGTGCACATTTAACACAATTCTTCGCAGTGTGCTTGATATCAGCATTCAGTTCTGGCTACCAGCATGACGAGCGTGCAAAACATTTCATTTTATAAACACCAAGATGACCAGAGTTCAGATATGCAAGAACAGTCGCTCACGGAGCCGGTTGAATGGTAGCTCTATCCTCAAAACACAACAAACCATCCAGAGTAATAGACAAGCTTTCTCAGCGACAGTAAAAAGCGGGAAATCGGCGTCACTCTTGCTGCGTCCGGTCACGTCGCAGTGCCGAAAGAATGGGAGCAAAATATCTTTTAGTATCAGTAACAAGCGCATGCCGCTTGACTGGTAATGGTTGAATCAATAAACAAACTGAATTGTTTGAATTAGACTCGCATGATGGAATTCTTGACAAGAAATCTGCATAGGAAATCATTTTCGCACTACGATGAACAATTGGGTAGGTATACGAACTCAGTGCAATAATCCACCATCGAGGCAGATGACTTCGCCAGAGACTTTGTTGGATGATACAAGAACTTCAAAGCCTCAGTGGTAAAGTTTCATCCAAAAAGATATTTATGAAGCCGTTTGACAGCCCAATATACCGAAAGTGCTTCTTGTTTAATCAGAGAATATCCATGTCCGGTTTTCGAAAGTCGACGGGAAATGCAGATCACCCGTCCATCAAACTGTTCATGGATTGCTTCCATTCCAGTGGGGGAAGCATCAGTAATGATGTTCGAATGATGTTTGGCGGAAAATGGCTTCAAAACAGCTGAAGTCTGAAGATAACCAAGCAGTATAGGCAACGTCTTTTCATGGTTATAGGACCAAGAAAATTGATCAACAAATATGACATCAAACAGGCAACTTGCATGCTTAGAAAAATTAAGAATAAAACGAGAGCAATACTTGAGTGCTCCCGGAACTGAACGCTGGTGATGGCGCGTTTACTAAAGGAGATAGATGGTCTTTACCGGGTTTAAAACCGATACCATTCACAATATAGCCAAGGCATGAAAAAGATGGAACACCAAAAGTGCATTTGTCAGGCTAAATGGTTACACTGAACTCAGAAAGACGCTTTCGTAAAGACAGCAGACGCATACCATGGGTAGCTTTGTCAGCAGCGTGCACAATGACGTCATCTCGGTACTTCTCAAAACCCTTTAAATCTTTTGCAATAGTATTCATAACGTTTTGAAATACAGCTGGTGAAACATTCAGACGAAAAAGAAGGAAATTATATCGGAATAACCCTAAAGGTGTGTTGGTAACGGTAAGATTACCAGAGGCTACGTCCAGTGGTATTTGATCAATTTTGGAAAGTAAAGGCACCAAATAAACGATAAAGTACATCTTCGGGCTCTTCCATGGTGCATGTACGTCGTAGTAACCGCATATTTAGCGTTAGCTAGTAGTCTCCACAAATGCTCGGAGTAAAACCATCAGCTTTTATTGGGGTAACCGTCGGAGTTGCCCAATTCGATGATTCGATGGGAGTCAGTATTCCTTTCGCACACACTGAATTTAATGCTTGATGAACGGGTTGCTGTAAGCCAAATGGAATAATTCGTCTCTCAAGAAATATAGGATCTCCTGTAACTTCGAGTCTCACCTTGGGTATTTCCATGCCAGCTGTAGCCTCAGAACATCTGAGAATCAGTTGTTTGAGTTCATTCTCATTCACAGAAGTCGGTAAGGTGATACTGGTTTGCAGTGAGTGCAGAACTTTGATTCCGAAAATAGATGGTCCCGAGGTTGGAAACAAAAAATTACAATCGATAGAAGTACCTTAATGTAATCTCACAGGAATCGTGCAACTACCAAATAGAGGTACAGAATGTTCAGTGATACCGCGAATAATAACATCTGTAGGCACTATCACGGCACTGGGGTAGAATGCAGTTAGATCTGATTGTGGAATCATGGACTCAACACTACCAGTATCAACAATAAAGTCATGCTTTTGACCAGAAGCGGATATCAACGTTTTAAAAATATGTGACGAATTTTGGGACAAAACAGACAGAGGAAGAGTAGAGATATCTTCAGATAGTGGTTTCACTTCAGTATTTGGGTCAGAAGTTAAGTGACACACTTTCTTGGACTTACAGAGAGGTTGAATGTGTCCTGTTTTACCGCAGATAAAACACTTCGCTTGTCTGTGACGGCATGAATATTTGGAACGCTTCCGTCCACAAGATTCACATTCCCCAAATTTTTGAACCAACAAATTAGAGTTACGACCTGTGAAGTGACGTGTTGATGGATTTGGGGCACGAGAATCTGTTCGAGTTTTGAATTTGTTGTTCGTCTGCATCCTTGAATTATTTCTTTTAGAATAATTTAACTAGACTGTTTCCTCAATATTCGTTACATGCTTCACATCTTCATACTGCTCACACATTTTCTGAATAGTTTGAAATTTCTTATCCGGACAGAGCAGCAGCTTCTGCTGTAATTCGGGCAGTTGAATGCCAGCAAAGAGTCTATCACACAGTTGGTCTTCCAATTGGGCACCGTAGTCACATTTGGCTGCCTGTGTCTGCAGCTGCAATACGAAATCACGAAACGACTGAGAATGGGAGCGGGTCAACATATTGAGCCCGACTCTTTCGGCTGCTACGAAACTAATCGGTTTGAAGTGTTAAAGAACCTTTTTCTTCAACGCATTGTAAGAAATATCGATCGGAGATTCAGGATATACTAGATTCTTGATCACTGTACACGCCAACAAAATGTAGAAACTATGCCGTGAGTTTCTTTCATCCACATCAGATTTTGTGAGACACGATATATCACTCCGTACCATATAATCCTCTACGTCACGCGCAGTTGAATTAACTTCTAATGGTTCCATTTCAGCACGCATGATGAACTGTTCCAATCGTGACGCCTAAATGTGAGAATTATGTTCCGCACGCATATCGGTATAACCGGACGAACTAGAAGCACAGAATTCAGCACAGCGTAACAAGTAGCACGTATATATTCGAATTGGCGTGTATGTACAGCATATGGAATATTAAAACAAGAGAATAATGAATAGAGCTGTGAATAGAGTAACAATCACGTTCATCAAACTGATGCATGAGGCTATTTAGACAGGCCAAAATGATCAAATAAACGTGTCCAGCCAAAACCATACCCTGTTCAAGTTGGACAGTCTCAGTATTTTTAATGAAATATCTGAAATTAATTCGGAAGTTGACCCCATAAACTCATCCGCGTTTGCAGGAATCTGACAATTGATTAGGGATAATTTCATTCTCTCGACTAGGCGATGGCACAACCGTTAAGCACACATTCAAAGAGATTTCTGCGGTAAAAGAATAACAAATAGTCATTTCAGTTGGGAGGCGAATTCCAGATTGTTCGTTTTGATATCCTATTCGTTTTAAGTATCGGATCGTTACTTGCTGGATGTTTGAACGGAACAATCACCAAACACCAGACAACAGGCGGTAGAATCAAGTGGTTGTTTTCGGATGAAACTGCAAAGGCGGTAGTATCATCCGGGGTTGCGCTGACAAAATCCAACTGCACTGTGCTGCAGTAAAAGTAGAAGGACTATTCATCACAGGTCACCTTATCGTTTGCTGACTCATTTAGAGAGAGATTATTGCCACATCAATTCATTTTGAAAAAGTTGTTAGCTAGAATCTACTCAGGTGGCCTCTTTGGAATTTCGCTACTTGCATACTTCACAAGCACGCCTACCGAGTGACTGCCGAACCATTCCTGATTTTCTGTGCATAGGCAGAATAAACAGGCGGAAATCTGCCAGCTGTCAAAATCCAACCTGTGAACACCCAACATCCAGCAGAAAATCCGCGTTTGTGGGCTCAAAAAATTGAAGACGAACGCTGAAATACTGTCACCGGTTGTCATAAACTGAAGCGTCGACATGCACGTTAAAGTGATTCACTCTTAAAACTGTTTTAGCTTTCAAAAGCTGAGAAGCTTGGACACATGTGGGCTTGTGCAATGTCATATTTTTGTGGTAGTATTTAGTTGCATAATATAGGACCTGAAACATTTTCATGCAATCAGCCTCTTCGTACCCACTGAAGCTTGAGCTAAACTTTTGAGTGGAAAAAGCTCAAGCGTGGACTAACACGAGAAATTCATTGCTTTCTTGTAGCCGATTTGGGGGTTTGCAGAATTCGAATTCACAGAGCCCGTTTGCTCCTGTTTCGTGGTAGTTGTTCGGTTCAGCCCTTCCTCACTCAACAGTACGTATACTTGACTGCACTTGGATTTCAATTCAAGGCACCTAACTTGTGCGGGAAGCTTGCTACTACAACTCCATTACCACGCAAGCTGGACATGCTCGAATAATCGGGTCCAAACGATTGGGCGCTGTGATCAGCTGGGCCGATGACTCAAACAACGAACCAGGAACTGTCCTGGTTGCGTCGATCGGTCGACCTGCCAGTCAAGGCTTCCCCGTCAGGTAGCCCATGGACGTCTGAAGCCTGATGAACACTATTTTTATAGGTATGTGGATGCAGCATACGTAGAATTCACGTCTAAGTCACTCTGATGTGAACAGTCTCCCTCCTGTCCTGGTGCAATTATTCTCCCAAGTCCAGACCAAAAGGGGGGAAGTGCTGAAGTCAAGTTTTGCTCTCATCAGCAGTGCGCTTCCTTGACAGTGCAGCAGGTTGAACCGCCGGCATTTGACATGTGCGGCGAATGTTCTAATACACCACCAGAGCGCCTTAGATCCACCTGAATTATCACATATGAACAAGTGAACGTGTTTCAGAAGAGCTTGATAAACGATCAGTAGTTTTTATTTGGGCAACGTTTTGCTTTTGGCACAAAAGCTTCATCAGGCCGAGTGAACAGGTAAGCAAATGGGACAGGTTATAAGATATGATCTGATAATCTGGAGAAGACATACTGATTGGTTTCCCGTCTATCTTATTACCTTGCCAATTTGGTGACCTGTTTACTTGACCTGATGAAGCTTTTGTGTCAAAAGCGAAATGTTGCCTAAATAAAAACTACCGATCGTTTACCAAGCTGTTCTGAAACAATGACTTCTCAATCAGTTCCAAACGTTTTCCAGGTGAACGTGTTGTTATCAAAGGCACACAAGGTTTCCGGGATTCAAATCCCTCTAAGTCCATGGATCTGAACTGCTGAAATGCTCTAATTGGAGTGAAATGGGTGTTCAATGCTTCTTCTTCTCGGGGTCGACTAATCTTGATAGTTGTGCTTGAATAAGAAAAAAATCGTTCAAATGAAAACAGTGCGAGTGCGATCCATCTGTTGTCTCAGTCTGTTAAGTAAATAGAAAATCCCAAACTCATAGGATCAAGCGTTATTTGAGAGAAATGTTATAAAATTATTCAGCATTCAGCATCGTAAACCGTGTTCATGAAAGTGACCACGTTCGCTAGCTAAGGAATCGACTTTTGTAACCCTCACGTGTTATTAGCGAACTGAACTCACTTGCAAACTGCATACGGTTAAAGAGAATCCAAAATGAATCTCTCGTTTATATTACTGTTTAGCTGTGTGAGTCAAACAAGGAGCACTTTGTACTACGGCTGGAACGATGTCTGAAGTGTGGCGGCCTCTTTCCCCCACACAACAAAAATTTTCTG